TAAAGAAAAAAAAAGTGTTCACGCACGCACGCTTGGCAGAATTGCCGAGAACTTGGAGCTCGCTTGTTTAGGGAGTGCTAAATGTAGACGACAATAGAGGTCTGGACGGGTACGGGCCAGCCCGAGGGCAATGGGCCACCCCGGCCCGCGGGCCAGGCTCAGTCTTCACGGCAACATCCATGAAGTGCCCGGCTGGGCACGGGTCTTGCAATCAAGTCTTCAAAACAGGCCAAACCAAATCACACCAACAGCTATTTTGGTTTTAGCAGCAACTGTTTTAAATTTTTTTGGGGGGGTTTGGGGGAGGGATTATCATGGGGGAGACCCAAATGCTGAGCATGTGTGTCGGTTTGTATAGGTTTTTGTACAGTTCGGTGTGTGCAGCATACTCTTCCCAAACACTAGCAGCACAGCGTTCATTTTCGTCACTGGCGGCGTCGCCGTTGTACGGTCGCTTCTCCCCATCAACATGCACACGTACGTGCCCACACAATGTGCACCCTCGCACGCGTAAACCATCTGCACGTACGAGTGCGTGCATCCACATAATGGGTGAGAGATTCCCCTGGGGAATGCTTTTCCTAAACAATTTCTTGCAGACCACAGCTAGAGACGGCGGTTTTTTTTTTTATCCTCTTTTTTTCGGTCGTACGCAGCAAGAGGGGGCAATTTAGAACTTTGTTCGCCTTTGTCTAAACCCGTTATGATGTTTCCCTTCCTTTTCAACTTTGCCACAGAATTTTGTTTTTTGCTGCTTGCCAATTTTATTTTTTCGTCCTTTCTGATATGCAGGCTTGGTTGCGAATCAGGATGATGAGGGTGATTTTTTTAATGAGCTGTTTACGCCTGCAGACTAATCCACCTACCAATAGCAGCAAAAAAGAAAAAAAAAGATGCTTACTGCATCGCCTATTGGGTGCCGTAGTCAACACATGTAGCAGTGGCAAGCGAGCTGTCATGCTGTGCAATATGTGAGCTATTCATACTAGAGATGCCGCGAACCACCCTAGGTTCGAATTCGAAAGGTTTTGATATTTTCGAACCGAACAGATGTTCGATTTCAAAAGGTTTCGATATTTTCGACCGTAGGAAGGTTCGAATTAAAAAAATTTGCAACTTTCCAAAATCGTGGGGTTTCGAATTCGAAAAGTTTGAAGCTTTCACGGTTTCTAAAAGCTTGGGTTCGATTATTTCGAATATTTGTTTACTTGAGGTTCGATAAATTCGAAGATTTCGAACTTCCCTAATTTGAAATTCGAGAGATTCGAATGTTTAGAATTTCTTTGAATCTAAAATTCGAAAAATTCTAACGTTTTGAATTTTTAAAGACAAAGTTCGATAAATTCGAAGATTTCGAATTTCTTTCTACATAAAGTTCGAAAAGTTCAAAGGTTTCGATTCTCTTTTAATGCTAAATTTGATAAAAAACAACCTTCAAAGGTTTCCGATTTCTTTGAAGTCCAAAAGCACAAAGTTTGAAGTACGGTTTTCATGTTCCGCCACAGTTTCAGTTTCAAATAACATTGTCATGAAATCAGGTTTAGGAAAGTTCGGGTGTGATATTTAGACTGCGCAAAGTTGGTCAAGCAATTAAATGAGACGACGAGTGCCACGAATGTGCTGGAACATTTGCCAGAGCAGTGACGTGTAACAATAGATCAGTAATTGTGACCGCCAGCCCGGGACGTGCATTACGAAGTAGTGATCCTATGAATGCACTGTTGAACGATACTCATCCAGTTCGAAACGGCCAGGGGCAGGCAGGTGGTTGAGGTTCAGAAAAACCTTGATGTGATCTGGCAAACTGCCCCTTTACCCCCTTGCACGCTGGTAGAAATCCGATCGAACGCCGCCCGAGTGACGCTGGCATATAGTAAGTTTAGTTTGTACATGATGCAAAATCTTGAGACTTGGAATGAAATTTGAAACAAAAAGTGTAAGAAGACAGAAAAAAGGGTACAGGACAATGTCTCAAACTCAACTCAGCTGAAAACCCAGCTCAGGACAACGTCTCAAACTCAACTCAGCTGAGTTTGAGATGGTGGACTGTCCCCTTTTTTCTTTCTTCTTACATTATTTCTTGCGAATTTCATTCCGAGTCTCGGGATTTTGCATCATGATCAACATACACCAGCTCGCCTGTGCCTTGACAATTTTTTTGTTTGTAATTGGTTTATTTTCTGGGGCGGAAGAAACGCCGAGCAAAAAGCACAGAAGCTGACGCAACTTGAGTTCGAGGAGCGTTCTACCATACCAGTGGCGTCGGAAGAGGAAAAACGGGGGGGGGGGGGGGAGCTCCAGTCTCTTCCCCCCCCCCTCCCAGATATTTCGGGCTGTTAAAGATCTGAAATTATTTATGCATATGTATAGCTACTGTCGGTCTTCACTGCATAAAAGATTGTGTAGATGGTCATTGTTAAGGCTGGTTCTCACATGCAGCGAAGCGCTGATGTAACGCTGCTCACGTGCTGTCAGGTACTTATCGTATGCCATGAGCCACAGTTTTGACGATGTTATACAAAGCTGGTGAACGCTCCCGTCAGCACGTGCTTAGCACGAGGTCAGCGCTATACTCGTAGCACTCCGCTGCATGTGTGAACAGGCCTTTAGAAACTCGTTGTCAGGACACAGGAGGCACTACTCGTCACATGCTCGATGGCTCAAAAGTTCAAAGCTATGTCTTTTCGACTTAAATATCTGTGCCATTGGTAAAAAATAATCAATAAATAAACATAACAATAAATGCAAAAATAAAAAGGTGGAGAAAAAAAAAAAGCTATCAAGAACCCGCCGGAAGTGTTGTATTCTTGCATATTCAGAGGCTCAGAACCATGAAACAAGTTTCTCCTACCAAAATGTGTACAGGCCAAAAGAAACACGTCCCAAAAAAGTAAAATGAGAAAAAAAAAAAAAAATTTATGACGCGCTGAACTTGAATTTTTTAGAAATCTTTCCCCATGAGTTAATTTATTCCTCAACGTGAAAAAATCAATAAATACATTATTTTGTATTCTGCAGATGGTAATAATATGTACTGTTTCTGGTGTTAATTTAAATGCGATACTCAAACAATGTAGGCGAAAAAGATTACCAAGTTTAGGGCATAATCGTCTGTGGGTACATGTTTGGATATCTATTCAAAACTCGTCTTGAACAACAATAATCATATCTTAAGACGACACTCACCTAGGCTATATATAGATAATTCTTAAAAAGTTTAACATCTCTACCATAAATAGCTGCGGCTATAGCGCGCTTCAGATATGGCACAAACGACAATTGTCAAAAAACCGTCGTTCTTCGGGAATCTATTTTTCTAAAACCAAGCATGCCAGATGATTGAAATAAACGGCATTGTCTTTCACAAGGAATGCGACGCCCCATGTAAAATTGCGAAAAAAAAATTACGAATGTACCTCACCGCTTGAATCCAAATGAAACCACCCGCCGGTCTTTCGAAGTTCGACGAACTTCGAAATTTTACCCTAAAAGTTCGAAGCTCGTCGAACTTTTGACTTTTCAGGAATCGAGAGTTCGGCAATTTTCAAATTCTTTAGATTAATAAGTTCGAAAGTTCGAAAATTATCGAATTTATTAGCGTAGGAAGGTCGAAAGTCCGAAAAGCTTCGAACTTTTTAGTGCAAGAAGTTCGAAAGTTCGACAAGCATTGAATTTGGCAGCGTAATAAGTTCAAAAATTCAAAAAGCGTCGAACTTCTTAGTTTAATAAGTTCAAAAATTCAACTTCCGTCGAATTGCTCAATATGAAAAGTTCGAAAATTCAAAATCTTTTTAACCTTTCGAACCGCTTGATTCGATCATCGAAACTTCCGATTCGAAAAAAGTTTGCGGCATCCCTAATTCATACTGTGCTAAATTAGACCGGGCCTCAGCAGGCTTGTGAAAATCAGCATCGGGCTCGGCCAGGCCAGGCCGGCTGTTGGAAATGGATAGCGGGCCCCGGCACAAGAGACAGTGGGCCGGGCCCCTAAATATCGGCCCGTGCAGACCTCTGGAGGGCGTCACTGGCGTCGCCATGTGTTTAATCACATGATTGTGACCTGCGGGAGTAACTTGAATCTACTTGAGCAACACATTCAGCTGGCACTCGTGTTTTCTTCTTTTCAACAATTAGGTGTCAGTAGAATGTCTGGCACCCATCTCCGACTGGCGTGCTTGCTGCGCTAAAAAAAGTGGTCCCTCAATATCCGCCCAATGACGTCATAGACGTGTCAAGCGCTGTCGTCGGCCGTGGTCCCGGCGGCGCCCCAGCAGCGGTGGTGAATGCGGCAGAGAACTGTTCTGCTGCAGGTTGCCGTCCAACCTGACAGTCCACAGAAGCTTAGGCAGCGAGGAGTTGGGATGCCGCGACGGCAGCGAGTCATGTTCCTTCATGCTTTTTACGGCGTTAGCCGTTATGCGCTCTTCCCACCACTAGAAATGATTTCCATTGTTGATGTTACAGTTTTGTCGCTGTTGGTGTTGTAGTTGGCGATGTAGGGTGTCCGTTGTCGATGTTGCCAAATCCATGAGAAAGGTTGCCCGCTGTCCGCAGGAACCGAACCTCGGGCTGCTGTGTGGGAAGCGGGGGCGTTTTCACTGAGCTACGCCACAGCGTTAAAAAGCTGATTTTTACTTAGGGTTTTCTTGTAGTACCCATGCCCACTGCACGCACTCTCTGGAAAAAAATAGCTGATAACAAAATTCCGTTGCAGCACTGTCAGTGCCAAGAGCTTGTGCCAGATGCGCTTTCATGTGCTCCGGGAAAAAAAGAAACAAAACCGTTCAGAACAAAATGGTTGGATGTCTATTTTGTCCTGGGTGCTTTTGTTCACGCGACGCATGTTGCGTGAACGCGATGCCGATGACATTTGTTGCCACTTTGGGACCACTTTCGATACGTGGGCAGTATAGGATGCTAAACACACCATTCAGGGACGCATTCTGGGCACCGTAGTGCCAGCCACTACGCTCTGCATTAAAAGGCTGCTGGAAGCTCACCCCTGGCACTGGCCCACGCCCTCAGATCGGCCTCTCGGGCGAAGGTGGAGTGCGGCGCCTCCCTGCAGAGCGGCGCCAGGTGCGGGGAGATCACCTCTGCTCGGGACAGATCCACGCTCAGGTCCATGCCCAGCTGCTCTCGACCACGCTCCTCTTCAGGCTCCCGCACCGCCAGGGGGTTACGCTGAAATAACCCCGGACAAATAAACTGGACGCCTTCGATCAAATGAACGAGCCTTCTTTTATATTGCCACGGGGGCAGACGCAAGTAAAAGTTTGTGAGGTGTGTGCGGGACTCAGGAAGAGAAGGAGACGTGAGCATGCAGGGACGTCTGAACGCCAAGCTTCGGTTGGAATGGTTAGTGGATGGGTGCGAAGCTAGCTGACTTTGTCTCTACACAACCTTCGAACGCGTTCAAATGCCGGAGTATTTCCGCGTTCGAACGGCGACTAGAGACAAGGGCAGCTAGCCTCGAGTCTATTACTAATTCTAACCAGAGCTCGCCGTTCCGACCTCCCCGTGCACTCTCATCTCCCACTCTCCCTCATTTCTTCCCCTAATTGCCACAGGGGCAGACATAAATGAAAGTATGTGAAGCGCATAGTTTTAAATGGATTCTAAAAGCAATGTTACCGCCGCGACGTCGAACACTGAAATGATAAACAGGTGTTAGTTAAAGGGCAAGCCTCCTTTGTGCCACCTAATATGTGAGCGGCGTTTGGCAACTTACATGGATTCTGAAAGCAATGTTACCGCCGCAACCTTAGAAAATTTTGTTTCACTGTTGACAAACGACGACAGTGAGCTGCAAGCTTGTGAGAGCATAATTCTGAAACCTCCAGACTGCAGTTTTCAGATTGCTTACAGGCTTGCAGATCATCGTCGTCATTTGTCAAGAGCTAAACAAAAGTTCCTAAGGAACCGGAAGTTGGCAAACGCCGCTCACCTAATGGAGATTAATAGTACGCTCAATTAATTTTAAGCACCAGTTTGTGTTCAAAACCATGTAAATGTGTCCAAAGAAATGAAGTCTGCCAATAAACAAGTTTTGACACAAATCAAGATAGTTTCATTATGGTTCTAATTCTGCACTCTTCATCTCGACAGATTGGGTAGCGAAGCAATGAGCCAGCCGTGTGAAGCTAGCAATAAAAGAGGCATCGGGTGTGCTCGATTAATTTCGCCGAACATATTAGACACATTTTAATGTCATATGTTGCAGCAGTTGCTGTGTGGTGAACTTCCATGCTTGATGTAGTGCTCTCATGCCCCACTTGAGGACCCTGTATATGGAAATGGAATGGCAACATCCACCCTCCATGATCTTTACATTTCTTTCTCTCCTTTTTTCAATGCGTGCTAGCCCCTACGGGTTACCGATGTGCTTAAAGATCAACCAACAAATTCATCTTCTGCCACACAAAAAACCCTTCTCAGTGACCTTTTCTCCATTCCCGTTCCACACTCCTTCCACCTCCTTTTCCAAAAGAAGCGGGTCTCTCAGCTACCCATTGCAGAAAAGAAGGGGGTTTCCTCTTTTCTTGAATAAAACGAGGAATTAAGGGGCAGTTTCCTCCTAAGGTCACTCAAACAGCATGTGAAACCCCGTCCCTGTGACTAGCACCAACCAAGTTTTGGCACTTTTTGGTCCTTAGTTTCCCGTTTAAAAGACTGAAAAAGTTAAACATGGACGAGGGATGAACCTTTCTGCTGCAACCTACCTAAGCAGATGGGAAAAAGAGTTTTTTCCTGCCCTTTCTAATTATTCTTAAATTGTTTTTTTTGGGGGGGGGGGAAGGGGGGGGGGGGGGGGATCAGCGTTTTGATTGTGGCATTTTGCTCAGGAGACAAAAATGCGAGAGAAGGACACTGTTGAGGAACTTCCAGCCAGGCACTGGCTAAAATTTCCTCAGCACTGAAGCACTAGGAAGCAGGTGCTTGACTTGCTCAGGCCGCATGAAAATATCTGAACCATATGCGGTGAAGTCAAGACAGCGTAATCGTGATGGGACATTGGATTGTGATGCAGGCACAACAGGCGACATGACTCACCTGCCTAAGCTTGGACATCGCGTCGACCGGAATGAAGTTTACTTTGTTGAAACGAGTGACAAAGCACACCACTTGGTACAGGTTCTGCCCTTGCTCCTCCTCTCCCAAGATCAGGACCCGGAAAACTTGTACCTCCTGGTAGGGAGAGCAGACAAACTATGTCAGATCGAGCGACATTTAGAGACACCGTTACCTTGGTTCCATGATCTAGTACATCACCATCATTGAAATAACCTGTCAGTAGAAGTGTTGGTCACTGCAGCAGCCTACGCGACTCCAAAACAACACAATATGTTGTATCAATTTGAGTGTATTATGTGCGTACTAGCCACCGTAGCTGAATACATCGGTGCCAACTGAGCGTGCACAGATGAGAGCTTCTGCTACATTAATTTTGCATGATCAAAGTTGTTTTTCTCGACACACACATTCTGTTCGAAGTAGCTGGCATTCACGCTTTACATAGTGGGTCTCCTGGATGCACTACTTTAATCTACACCCTGCAAAAACGCGATGGTTGTGGTCCATAGAAGGACCCCGGCGAATGCGGAGGCCAACAAAATACTCCAACTAGAGGCATGTTTCTTGCTAGGATTAGCAGAGCATGAGAATGACATTCGACGTCCCAGCATGTGGTCACATTCCAAGGTTTAAACCAGGACTAGGCAAACTCCAGTTCACAGGCCCTTGTGGCCCCAGAAATAATTGTAGTCCAGAAGCCTCACTGGGAACGGTTCTACACTCTCGTGGACATCCACGAGTTGTGTAGAACAATTACTCAGACCATAGCATAATCACCCCCCTTGTCCCAAGTGTGTGTGAGCACGTGTGTATGTGTGTGTATGTATACGTATCTGTTTTCCTTTTCTTTTTTGTCTAGTCTAGTCCTTGCTCCTCATAGCACCGTCCAGTTGGCGCAAGGGGCACACTATATGTGTATGGCACATGCCTTTTCCTCTTCACCTGCACACCGAACGGCACCACAAACTTTTAAATGCAATGAAGTACTATCACTATTACTATTATAAATGAAGGCACTTAAAAAAGTTGGTATATTTGCAAATGGAAGCTGTTGTTGTTCACGTTTCTTTTATTGATGCCCTCACCACCTTGATCTCAGATCATTTGTGGGAGGAGATGAGCAAGGGGGATGATGTCGGATGAAAATATGTTAAAATAGGTGGCGAATGCCTGCCTCCCGAATGAATTTCAGGAGGGACTGGAGCACTGCCTCTCTGTCTGCTTGTTCGTCTTCGGGACTCGTCCATTCTTGGAAGTTTGTAGGATGAAGCTGATGTGGCAGTCCGAGAAGACTAATGAAAATGGTAGGAATGATTATCGCAACAGACCAACCTTATCAGACAACAATTCTCAAAATAATTTTAACATAATTACACAGACATAAATCAGCAAACTAAGAATGAAGATACCGGTAATGAAAATGTGCAATAAGTGCCATACAAAACTATCAGCGGGATAAAAAAAATCAAAACGTATAGAAAGCGTTTGGTGAGCGTCACAGCACCTTCTCTTTGCACACTCATATTTTTTGCGCCGGTAGCAGCAAGCCTGCTGGAAACGGGCCGCGGGCTAGGCGTGACTGCAAGTACCACGACTAGCCTTCGGCCAGTAAAAAGTTCCAGTGACTGGACACAAGAATGGTGAAAAATTTCAAAAAGATACATACTTGCTCTAAGAAAGGGGCATTGGAAAGTTAGAGGTGAATTCATTTGGGTATCTTTAGCGTGGCTCGACAGAACAAACCTCGTCTTTGTTTCTGAGCATGAATCTCATTTCTACAGGGTGTCACAAATCAAGGAGCTTGCAGTAAAATGAGCTGACAAAATTGGTACCTGCACATAAGAAACCAAACATTCATGTCAGCGGATCAGTCATTCCACTCTTTAAGGTGCCACAGAGCCCACTGAGGCAAACGTCGGGGCGATTCCAGTCTTTATAGGGAGTCACAGGTGGCGTTGCAGTAGATGATATCCTCCTTGAGTGGGCTCTGCGGCACCGCAAAGAGTGGAATAACTGATCCACTGCTGCTACTTTTTGTACAGGAGGTGGTACTGCTTACGTCATCGCAAGAGGAACTACTGAAAGACAGAATCAACAACAGTGACAGGAAACTCGGCCAATTCGACATAACAGCACACCCAGAGTGTCGAACCGGAACCGAACCGAAAACTGGAATCGTCTTCTTGAACTGTTTGGTGGAATGCGCGATTTATGAGTTGAGGAGGAAAGCTAAACAGGAAAAAGTTGGAAAAGCGTTTCATGGCCCCTTTAACATCCGGATATGAAGATGTGAACACCCAACGATTTACGGGCGTTTCAAGCAAAATTTTGAGTGCAAGTCACATGTCTGAAAGGATCAGAGGTCACTTGCACCTATTCAGCTAGTCCTGCCTCTAAAAGTCTTTGTCGTCATTATCTGATGCTATAAACCAGTGTCGACACTGATAGGCACGACTTTCGAAGCAGCATTTGATTTTCTTCTGTTTAAAGGGCCAATGAAAAGGAAAAAAAAATGTTTTTTTTTTTAATAGTCTGGTTGGGACACGCGTGTCGAGAAATGAATTTTATGCGAAAGAGCGCTGCATTGCAGTCTTGCGATGGTATGCGGTACCCTAATAAAATGTTAGAGCGTTCGTGACTGATAAAGCACAGAGTTGTAAAGTAAGGCCCCAAAGCAAGTGCACGTAAAACCGAATATAACTTTAGCCTCCCGGGACAGTATTCCGAGAAGTTTCCAGCTTGTGCAGGCCGATGTCCAAATGCGATTTAAATTAGAAATATATTGTCTGTAGGGACAGAACGAGCGGGTTGGTATGGATAGTAAACTTGAGGAAGAAGACGAGAAAGGACGGACAAACACATGTTTGTCCGTCCTTTCTCGTTTTCTTCCTCAAGTTTAATATTGTCTGTTCTTCGTGCTATTTATGTGTAACTAGGAACATCATTGCACGCATCTCTATTGGAGAGATACAACATATTAGAAAAATACCGACCAAGTCCTAAACAGTAAGGAGCCCGACGTTTCAAACCCAATTCACTTTTTTTATCGGGGCGACTATTTGCACGTGGAGAGCACCAGCTCCTTTTCTATATACGGAGTGTCGTTAACTTCACTTGCTTTTTTTTCTTCAAGTGCCATAGTCCGTTGACATACGCCGATGGTCAAGTGCCTCTCGACCTATTTAGCCCAACCTTTTGGAACGTCGGACTTCTAACTGTTTAGGAATGGTTGGGTAAGGTCTGTATTTCTCAAATTTTTGACCCAACCAGACAGAGTTCTGCCAAGTTTACGCTCAAAACATGCATCTGTATATATTTCTTTTTGCAGTAAGGTGTTGCGTATGGGATTATTTAGAAGAATACCATTTATTATCTTCCTTTCTGCACATGTCATGTATTTGCCTTCAGATCTATAATGTGAGAAGTCTTTTTTCGCATACCCCACGAAGCGGGTTTTTCACACTGCCAAACAGCGAAAAAAAAAAACATGTTTCCGCAGTCTCAACAGATAGCGTATCTTCGAGTATAGTCTTCCCATGTCGATCTCAAGCGGCTATGTGAACTTCATACGGTCTAATTTATTGATGACAATAAAAAAATATTTTATTACTGCCTGAAGACTTCACAACATAAATAAAGGGCCGATCACCAGCAAGATTTGCAATAAGTAAATGCACCACCAAACTACCTGAAATATGATCTGAAAATTTTTTAGACGTTTTTATCCTCGATAGGCACGTCTATAAGTGATTTGGGAGAACATTAAATATATATATATTTTTATTTTGAAGCTGATTTTAATAACATATATGTTTCTGGCGCATATTGAACTTCTCGAACATATAGAAGTATGTTGCCTCTTTTATATGGTGAGCAACAATTTTATGTGTCTGTGGGCTGGACGAAAACAAAGAACACCATGGCGCGTGGCGGAACTATGACGATTGCGCATGCAGGCCGTCAGAAAGTTACCAATTAGGTAGCTGCAGTGTCGAGTAGAGTATCAAATACTACTTTGTCTTATTTAACGAAAAAATGAGCAAGGGTGATGCTTATTTGCAAATTGAATTGACCGGCATCTTGTCAAGAACAAACCTCGAACGCCTAGCTAAGTAAAAAATGTTCACTTCGGTACGCGCTATTTTAGGCCAGATCCGATCTGAGTATGAGGGTCATTCTTTTCTGCATGATTATTCGCTCACATCACGGTGCTGAGTGTAAACAATATTGGTCAAGAAAGCAAGCATTGTGGTTACCGCTCAGTGTTGTTATAAAAGGTAGACTAAAAGGGGTTGTTCTAAAATTTTCCTGACATTTTGAAAATAATATTGCTTTTTGCTCAGTTGTGCTGTTCAAGGTTACGTGGAAGATGGCATTTCCGATCACAAATCACTAGTCTTTACTTATCCATTGTGCAATACTAAACCCCACAAGCGTGTTACTGTTACGGTACAAAATTATGCGATGGTCAATGATGTATGTATCCTTGATTATCTACAAACCCAATTCGACCAATTCAGCCCCATGTGCGACGTTGATGAAATGTGGTGCAAGTTTAAAGATATAATAACACTGTGAAACGAACTTCGTTCCTAACAGAAAGAAAACGATAAACCGCATGAACCTCTAAATAACGCGAAACATTATGCATATGAAACGCCGACTGAAGCGAAAACGTTGAAACAAGCTCGAGGCGCAAGAACTATCACGAGAATTAACATTACGAATTAACTCGGCTAGGGCAAAGTACTTCATATTACCCTACCAAACTTCCTCATACATGACCCCCAAAAGTTTTGGCAATATCTGTCGAGACGAGAAAGCCATGTTTTACAGTTTGAAATTGATGGTGCTACCACAGTTGACCCAGAAACCATATCTTCAGGCTTCAATTCTTTTTTTCAATCTGTTTTTTCTAGAGCCCTCGAAGATGACTGCAAACTAGATAGTAGTATTGAAGTGCCTGTAATGCCAAACTTGGAGATTACTCAGCCCGGAATCTTATCATTATTACTGAATCTAAATGTAAAAAAGTCTGCTGGACCTGATGAAGCCTCTGGCACAATTTTAAGGAGATATGCAGAGTGACTCTCGCACTATCAATGTCTAATTTTTGTTGAGTCACTGCGATCCTCACGGCTACCGGATGATTGGCGTTGTGCTAAGATTTTCCCGATTCACAAGACAGAAAATAAACACTTAATCACTGACTACAGACCGATTTCACTGACAAGTATGATATGCAAGTTAATTGAACACATTATATGCAAGGCAATAACTAAACACTTAGAAGACAACAATGTTCTTTATTCACATCAACACAGGTCCCGGGCAAGATTGTTTAAGGTAACGCAACTTCTAGAGGTTACCCACGATTTTGCGCTTACTATTAATGATAGACAACAAACTGATGCCATTTTTATAGACCTATCAAAAGCCTTTGACCGTGTGCCCCATCAGAAATTAATAAGCAAGTTGCAGTCAGTTGGCATTAGTCACGCTTTGATTTCATGGATCAATGGTTACCTTGTCAAACACAAACAGTATGTTGTAATGGACGGTAGTACCTCTGGTATACTGGATGTGTTTTCCGGAGTGCCACAGAGGTCAGTGCTTGGCCCGCTGTTATTTTTTATTTATGGAAATGATTTTCTGGCATGTGTTGATCCAACTGTAAAAGTGGGACTCTTCGCCGACGACTGCGTCATATATACAACCACAGCTGGACCTAAGAGTCAGATAATTCTTAACAAATCGTTGTAAAACTTAAACCTTTGGTGTAAGGGATGAAAATCAATCACGACAAAATTGCTGTTACCACTATCACTAACAAGAAAAGTCTGTTACACTTCTCATATATGTTAGATAATAAAACTATTGATAAAGTAAATGAAATAAAGTACCTGATTGTTACAATCTCCAGTAACCTTAAGTGGGAGACACATGTCACAAACATATGCAGCAATGCATTTAAAAAGTTGGGCTACTTGAGAACAAAATTAAAAAACTATGTCTGCAACTAAACTGTCTGCATACAAGGCAATGGTCAGACCAGTGTTGGAATATGCCAGTATTATCTGTCCGTATTAGGATTACCTTGTCAATAAGCTGGAAAAAGTTCAAAGGATCGCAGTAAGATTCATCTATTCTAATTACTCATGGAGGTCTAGCGTTACCACTACGTTTGCAAATGCAAAGTTGGGCACCCTAAAAGATTGAAGAAAAATTGCTAGCCTAAAGTTTTCGTACGCACTGTACCAACAACAAATAAATATAGCACAAGAAAAATACCTGAAGGAACCCTTTGTGCACTGAAAGTGAACCGATCATAACAACACAATCAGACCATATTCACCCAAAAACAACACATTTAGATATTCCTCCTGCCCCCGCATTATTGATCAATGGAATAAGTTAACAGAAGAAATTGTAAATAGTACATCAGCGCAGCCTTTTGCCGAGACTCTCATTTCTATGCGCTAGCATAACATTCCGCTTATGTGTTTTCATTTTCTGTCTTTTTATTGAAAATGTCTTATACCACTGTAGTGCTTCTTGTCTGTACAAATGTCCACTTCTGTATAGGTCTTCAATGACCTACAGTATTGATAAAAAAATAAATAAATAAATAAATGAAAACTGTATTTTAGTAATGTGGTTCATTGTGGAAAAATTCAAGGCGTGCCTCCATTCCTGCGAAAAATGAGAACAACGTCCTTGACATTTCAAAAGACAGGCACTGCATCGGACGACCGAGAAGCCCCACGTCTTGTGGTGTCACCGCATGACTGCAGAGATACAACTATCAGGCGACTCAGTCGTCTACGTCCAAGCCCTTCATGAAAAATGTAGAGGATGTTGTTTTCAATTTTCCCGGGAACAGAGATTTGACTTCACCGGGGTATAAATTCCCCACTAAAATACACCCTTGACGAAAATTTGAGCACATTGTGTGTGGACGTCGTATAACCAGGAGCTGGAAGGGGAGAAACACTCACAAAACTACCGAACTTTAGACCAGAGGTCTTGGATGGAATTATTCGGAATTGTTCAGCCTGGATGAAATCTTACTGGAAGGCGGTTGTTCTGCCCGAGGGACGAAATGCAAGGCACTCCCTAAATAAATACCGCCCCATCCACCTTTCTCCTTCACAATGCGAGAGGGTAGGTGGGGGGCGGATCCAGAACTCTGGTTTGGGGGGGGGGGGGGGCAGAAAATTTGTAAGGATACTATTGTCCCATTCTTTCTTGTGCACCGGGGGGTCCACCCAAGCCAAATTGCCCTCTGAGAAGGCGAGAGGGGGTAGATGCATGCTTGGTTGTGGCATTGGGACATAGTGTTGTGCACATTGTCACAGAGATTATCAGAGTGTGCAAACAGCGTAAAAAAAGCCACGATACAGTGGTTGTAGCATCCGCTCTGAACTGGCACAAGATTGGGGGAAATATATAAACAGTGAGTGGTCGTGATATAAATCCCTTAAAAAAATATTCTCTCCCCGTAGATCTGGAAATACTGCACCAAGGAGTGTGTGCAAGACACTTTGGCGCTCGAGAACCAACGAGTGTAAACCAAAGGGCTTCGCATACCGACTGGAACACCTATCGCTCCCCTGGGAACGGAATTGATGCACGGCTTCCGACATCTTAGGAGCGACACAAATTTCTACTTCGCGGAATTAGCACGATTCGCTTACACAGATATCCCCAGGCTGCTGTTCCTTAACATAATCACGCTGTTTCCTCGAGGAAAGTGGCCCGTGCCCTCACGATAGCTGAGAGCACAACTGTGCATGCAGGACATGAAGGGTAGGGGGTTATACACCTAAACGGGTCTGCCGCTGTTCGGACGGTCGCCCCACCGTAGTACACTCACCATTTTAAAGTCTATGAACTGGGTCACGTGGGTCCCTTCGGACTTGTGGAACTCGAGCGTGATGGTTTCGTCCGAAGTGTTGGCGACCAGGCTCTCGCGGAGCACGTCGCCCCCGTGGTTGCGCACATTGATCACCAGCTGACTGAGTGAGATCCGGACAAGCACATGACATAGGCAGAGCACTAGGTTCACCTTGCACATAGTCGGTGGCCAGGGAAGAGCCTGCACTACTGCGCCAAGCCCATGTTACCGAGCCACACCGCTCGATCATTCACTCATTCACGGTTGTCACTTGAGTAGCGGTAGAATTCGCAGCGGGCCGCAAGGCTGGCAGGGCGGCTGGCGTTGCACGGGATACAGCTTGGGGCTTCGTCGGCTTCGTCGCTTCGTCTTGCTCGTCTTGTGCTTGCACGTTGCACCGCTGGCGCTTCCACAGGGACCTGAACCGTTCGGTTGGATTGGTGTTCTGTCGGTTTTGAAACAAAAATGAGTAAGGAGAGGTGATGATCAGTTGATCAAGTGGTTGATCACATTACGACATTAGTGTGGTAGCTTGAAACAAGAACACAAAATATCTATATTGCTTTCGTTTCCGCTCTTCAGCTATGAAACTATTTCTTCTTCATGCAACAAAAGCTGACTTTACTGTTTTAAGTGCGCGTTAGAGAGGTTGCATAAGTTCCAGAGAGAGCCACTAAGCAAATTTATAAAAACAACATACAATTTTGAATTAGTATTATACGGATTGTACCAATCCAACCCAATCCAAAGCGGACAGCCAGCCAGCTAGCCGCCCAGCCGCCAGTCGCCAGGCAGCATCGGTGGCGTCAGCTCGCGTCAGCTACGTAGTAGATAAACAAGGAGGGTGTACGGCGGATGTAGTGAACCCCGTGGAGAAGAAAGTGATTACGAGTCTTGACGCAATAGCCGCTTCTGAAGGCAAGACATTTCTGTTTCTGCGCGGAAAAAGGATCATGAGACAACTTTAACTCCGGAGTACCCCCTGCGTGTCCTGATGCTTGTTACGGGGAGCGACGACGCTAGTGACGGCCTCGAAGACGTGCGCTACCTCTTCGAAGCCTGTCACCTTGGCAGCAAGAATGATCCACACGCAGACGGTCACAGCTGTCGCGGCACTTCTTTCGACGAGGGCTACGCGTCCTCTTCCTCTAAGGAGGACGACTCGGACCCAACGGGCCTGGTCACCGGCCTCTCGACAGTCTGCATCGACGATGCCGCCGTGCTGCGCCGCGGGCCCACCCGGACGAGAGACGATCGCCCGCGCCTCCAGCCATACGGCCACCAGCAGGAATATCACGACGAGCGATGGCGGGAAGAGTGGTTGGGCGCGCGCTTGGTCCTCCCGCCGTCGCCGCCAAAGCCCGACTCGGGGGCACCGAGCGCGGGCAGCGGGGGCATTCGGGATTGGCCCCAGGGTAGTCCTCTGTCTCAACCGTCTCCCGTGGAGCCGCTGTCAGTAGACTCGAACGTCTCTTCGTCGCCTCCGTTAGAAGTATTCGCGTTGGGCTGTAGCCCAGGGAGCTTCGACCAGAGGGATGCGCTGGCCTCGAGTGTGTTGCCCCCCAGCAACCTCAACGCACTCAGCCGCGATGGACTCGCGCTCATGGGCGACATACAAGCTTGTCAGCCGCACCAGGAGCTTGTGGACGACCTGGGAGCCCTTCTGCTGGCGGAGCCCGCTCAGCCGGACGGCGTGGACAGCATCAAACGGTACTTGATGGACGAGGCGCCACTCGCGCCTGGGCTGCCCGAGTTGGATATCGAGGACGTGCTGAGCCTGTTGCCGCCCATTCCGATCCCCAAGGAGCAAAGGGCGCAGCCCCCAATGGCTCCACCTCTGGCACAGGAATCGAGGGCACCCCCTGAGGGGACGCAGGCCGTCCAAGCGAACTCGAGGAGGTATCTGCCGATCCTGCCCAAAGATCCCAACACCAGGTGCGTACAGCACACCCTAATGCACATATAGGCATATCTTATTGAAAGTGGCATCTCAAATTATGAGTTTTGAGGCACTGGTCTCACCTCAATGCTTTAAATGAAGCTTTACTAGCAGCTCAATGAAATTATAAAGTTGGAAATGGGCTGATAAATAGAACTTCACCGACAGAATATCCTCAGATGTGCATCTCATTAAAGGTGTGCAGAAAGGAATGTTTCACTTTTATTACTTTGTTTAGATATGAACTCTTTATGGCACTGCTTCAGGAACATCAATGTTTCTATGAAAAATGTTAGAAAGTAATTTGAAAACAAATGAAACTATCACCAAATTTTGCTTCTGGTGAGTGCCTCTGAATCTTCATTGGAACGTCTTAATATTGGTTGCCTCACAGGGCAGTGCCAGTCCAGGAAAGTACAGCTCACTCGTGCTGATAATCTAGACTTGAACACGATTGAAACGCCTTTGTAGAAAAAGCCAAAAGAGAGTCAGACTCTGTGCATTGTATCGGCGATAGAGGTGATCGGTCATGCACAAGCCACACAAACGACAAGAGAATCAACATGATCTCAGTGCAGCTGCCAGGTGGCAAGCAGTCGGAAGGCGCGCTTCCTGTTCTCTTGTGCCCAGCTGGTGTGATACATGCAGTGTGTTCCGACATTTGGTTTGTCGGACGTTTCAAAACTTTGGGGATCTTTTCTACGCTTAGGGAAAAGTACTGCAACATTGTGAGACAGAGTACTGTGGTGGATACAGTACTCTGCCGCCGTCCTCACTGTCTCCTTTTTGTTGTCGTCATCCTCACTAATTTCAACTTCTTAGCCCTCATATTCTGTCTTCTTGCTGGTGGTGCATTGCACATGCAACCGCTCTGTGAGCCCCGATTGGCAGTTGAGATGGCGGCACAGAGGATGCAGTTAGCATGGGGCCCGCAGCTGTGGTGCTGTGCAATGGCACAACCCCCACCGAAGCGTCCGCGAGGATGCTTGTTTCATTCGAACCACAGATCTCATTTCGTTTCCTTCTCTTATCGGTTTGGGGACGTTTTACAAGTATTCAGCTACATTCCCTAGAAATTGGGGAACGTCTAGCATGCGTCCTACTTTCTTCGACCGAAGCCGCGATGAACCCCGATTTTTCATCTGAACACCAGAAATTGACACCGAAATACCCGAGGTCTGTGGGGGAAATAGACTCCAAAACAACCCTCCCAAATGTGAAGAAAACTAGACCCCGAAACCAAGGAACCCCACTTGTAATGCTGGACATTGATGTCTCGTCCTCGGTGACAAGTTTGCAGCTTCTTTATAATCGCAAAAAGGGTAACTTCCTCTTTTATCCCCTCGTAATACTTAAAAGACTCTTGTTAGCATCTTTACGACGTGTCTGGTTTCTCCATCTTTAGTATATATTAATATCTTTTTAATCTTGTGCTTTTTCTTTTTTTAGTTTTGTATAATGTGCTGTTTATGTCTACAATAAACAATGACATTTTTTATCACTCATTTTTTTTTTTACCCAGTTCTTTAAAGGTAGAAAAATGAAATGGCCCTTGTAATTGAAATGGCCCTCTTCCGATAATGCTCTGTGAGTGAAGGGTAGGAAACTAGTTAATAAGTTGATAAACAGTTTCCACTTTGTTTTTCTTTATCAATGTAGCTTTCTACATAACAATATTGTTTGCAATTAGTCAACCATTTCAGTCTAATCATTCTGGATCTAGTACAAGAACAGCCTGAACAGACAGCATTCACAAAAAAATATTTGTTAAATTATGCAAATTGCAAATTTAAATTTCACAAGCTTCTAAAATTGCTAATGAGGTTATTAAAATAAAATTGGTTGGAGAATTCTTATGTCATATTATTTGATGGGAAAAAGTAGATGCCACAGGTAGTCTTTGGAGCTTAATTCCTTGAGTGTTTCATTTCATTTCATTTCATTTATTATACTCTCAAGGCCCGAAGGCATTACAGAGGGGGAGAGCAACAAGAAGGTTAATGCAAATAACATAATACATATTTAGACACACTCAGTAATGAAGTAATTAGTTATTGTACTTTTAAAGAGCTCAGAGTCCGTGATAATGGCAATCGACCGGGGAAGGTGGTTCCGCTCCTGGGATGTACGGGGAACGAAAGATGAATAAAACGTGGTTGTGATAGAGTTAGGAATACCCACCTTATGTTGATGATCAAGACGGGAGGAAACATAGACAGGCTGAGCAATTAATTTGTCGCGCAGGAAAGAATTATGGTGATACATTTTATGGAATAGGGAAAGACGAGAAATAGGGAAAGACGAGAAATTTTACGACGTAGGGATAAAGGTGATAATGAGAGAGTTGTTTTCATAGAGGTGACGCTAGCGGTGCGGTGATAGTTTGTGAGGATGAAACGAGCGGATCTGTTCTGAACGGCTTCCAATGTAGATACGAGAGTGACTAGTCCGGGATCCCAGACAGAAGCTGCATATTCTAACTTGGGACGAATTAAAACTTTGTAAAGAGTTAATTTCAGGGAGACAGGGGCTAATGAAAAATCTCGCTTGATGTAACCTAACATGCGGTTAGCGTTAGCTGAAATATGCTGAAGATGTGTTTTCCATGAAAGGTTAGAAGCTATATGTACGCCTAAATATTTGTACGAAGATACCGGTTCTAGATGAGCATTATTAAGGAAATAGTTAGGAGAGTCCTGAGACTGGCGAGACACACGCATGACCTTGCATTTGTTAGTGTTAAGCTTCATAGACCACGAGTCAGACCAACGGTAAATAGCATTAATGTCTGATTGGAATATACAGGTGTCATTATGATTGAGAATCTCGCGGTAAAGTACACAGTCGTCAGCGAACAGAGACACGGACGAAGAGACACTAGTGGGTAGGTCGTTAATATAAATTAAGAATAGCAACGGCCCTAAGACTGTCCCTTGCGGAACCCCTGACGCAACTTTGACAAAAGAGGAGTTATTGTTATTCACAGTGACAAATTGAGACCGTTGAGTTAGAAAAGATTGTATCCATGCGAGAACGTTATTGTCTATGTTAAGTTTGGAAAGTTTTAGAAGCAGAAGATTGTGAGAAACTTTGTCAAATGCTTTGGCGAAATCCAGGAAAATGCAGTCCGCCTGGGATCCTCGGTCCAGAATGTGATGTAGGTCATTCGTGAAAGATAGCAGTTGGGTCTCACATGAAAATGTTTTTCGAAAACCGTGTTGGGCATTGTTGAAGAAGTTGTTAGATTCTAAGAAGTTGACGAGGTGAGAAAAAATTATATGTTCAAGAAGTTTGCAAGGAATGCTGGTTATTGAGATCGGACGATAATTAAGAGGGGAATGTTTATCTCCAGCCTTGTGAATGGGTACCACCTTCCCTACCTTCCAGTCTGATGGGAGAACAGCGTCTTGTATAGATTGTTCAAATAATTTTGTTAAAATAATTGAGGAGTATTGTTTAGTGTTTTGTAAAAACTTGGAATTAATGCCGTCCACTCCTGCTGAAGATGACAGTTTGAGTTTATCTATGATACGACCGACGCCAACGTAATCAAGAATCTTTTTATTAAATCTTTTACAACTTGTAATTTGCAGGGTTTTATTCAATTTGCTATCTCAGTTAACCATATAATTTAAAGTCATGCACAGGAACTTCATCTCTCTTTTTTTGTGTGTGTGTGTAGTTTCAAATGGTATGCAGGAAGCTATGTACAAATTGTGTACAGGTTTATTAAATGTGTTCCAGGTGTGGAGTAGCTGCTAGTACTTATCTCTACTTCATGTGATAGGGGGGCAATGCAATGAATTGGAGTTGGGAGCTAACTTGGATAGGAACACTTATATAGCGAAGTGATCATTGGCCTAGAGCCAGTTAGAGCTGCTTATACTATTTATAGCTATTCTCACACTCATTTGCAAATAACTACATTATTATGCACACACAAGCTGTGGACACTAGACATATAGACAAACCTGCTTTTACAAGCAAAGTGTGTGCACATAATTTGTGCTCTAGTGGGCCCCGCCACTTTGGCGTGATTTTGTAGACACAAGTCTGCCGGAAAATACAGCAGGCTGGCTCATACTTCCAGGAATTTACATAGGAATGACGTTCAAAAGCAGGACAGAAAGCTTCTTTGAAATCAAAACAGGAAGCCATGAGGTGTAGGTATACATTCAGAATAATTGCTGTAATGTTGGTACAGTTCAATGTAAAAGAAAAAGAAAAAAGAAAACTTTCTAGGACCTAGGTGTCTTTCTAATTCAGCAGAATGTAGTGATTTTTTTTTTATTATGTTTCAGTATATGCCGTTGCATCATACCACCTGCTTTTAGTTATATTCATGCTGGTTCCAAACTTGAGTTTTACATACTGGAGTACTGACATACACATGCATTCTTTCTACAGATTTATTGGTGACGTGTGCTGATAAACAACTGAAAGCATTTTTGTTTGGATCCATATCACTTGAGCAAATACTGTTTTAGCGAACAGCGGTCATTTGAGAGAGTCAACGTTTTAGTGAACAACTGGGGTGCTTGTTAACCCCAGTTGCCTGCGTTCACACCGCTTCGCAGCGGCAGTGTGCGGCGGCTCTTTGCAAAAATGTTATGTCACCTAATCCACCCATGAACGCCGCCTCGCGGCGGCCGACCGTTCGCTAATGTGTCTTTCGATGAAAAGTCGGTTTTGCTAAAACTTTATTCGATGAAATGAGTGCGACCTGTCCCATAACAACATGGTGTTCTCTTTTCTAACCTGCATATCTCTTTCGTATGGGAGCAGAAATCTCTACTTATTTTAGGCAGTTTATATATCTTATCAGACTATACATACCAGAGTGACCCAAGTGAGTGTTGTTCTGACTCCGAAGTGAAAATGTTTCGAATAGCTCATAAAATTATTTCTAAAATCATCCTTTTTATTTTTTTTTTTTTGCTGGGGATGGTAATTGTGGCATTAATCATGATGCAATCTTTAAACGTCAAAAGTCTAT